TGTAGATAACCTTTGTTAAGTTTGAGAAACGTGTATATCTGTGAGGCTCGAAAAGCAGACTTAGGAGTTGAGTTTCACATATGAGAAGAGCTCATTAATTGGGAACAGTCCTGAAGAAGGAAGGCTGATGACTAAATGTTCACTGAAATATAGGACAGAGGAAAACAAAGCTGTAGATTAAAAAAAAAAAAAGTTTCTACAGGAATTTCTTTGTAATAACTTATTTGGTTAATGACTATTCAGATTTATGACCTGACCTCAGACTTTCAGCTTGTCCTTTTACTTTTAGAGCTTCTGTGTCTTGTTTTTGAACAGTGTACCTTGTTTCTGTGGTACTGTAATAATTGCTAATTGTACTACACCATATAGTATGCAGCTTTATGTTCTTATACATTACAGTGCAGCATTTAGGAATTATGCAGATAAAAGTAAAGTCATCAAGTTAGAGCTTCCTTTTACCACTTCTTGGTTCTAAATATTGTGTTGTACAAACTATCCACAATTCCACATTTAGGGGCCAATCCACTTAATGACCTCGCCAAGTCACAGGAACAGAACTGTATTGCTAAACAAGGAGTGCCTCTGTACAGCAACTGAGATACAGTGAAGAAAGGAGAAAAGGATATACAAAGACCAAGAATATCAAAATGGAATCCTAAGTAAAGAAAGTTACTGAAAATCTGAAACATGAAAATTGAAGGAACAGGAATTAAAATGCAAGAGAACTTTCTGAATAACTTCGGGAGCTTAGTTGAACTTGAAAAACTCATTCAGTGGTGTTGCACGGTATAATTTGGTTGTGTTAGTAGACCAGGAACAAGAACAGAGCCAGCGCATGGTTGGAATTCTCTGTAGTTAGACATTGGCAGATTGAGTGTTTTGAAAGGTCAAGGGGGGAAGGAAATTGAGATTGCCAGTGATTTTAGTTGAAATGCTGACCCATGGATAGTTTTATTAAGAAAGAAAGAGATTTAGTCTTGAAGATAGATAGAGGAGAGGGTACAAGGGAATGGCAGTTCTTGTTGTGTCTGAAGAGTAAATTTAACTGGATAAGTTCTTGAGAGGTGATAAAGTCAGAAATGAAAAGACAGTTGCTTGTCATTAGAATAGTGTCACAAAAATTTTTTCTGGGTTTAGTGAGAAATTAAAACCCAGCATAACAGGAATAACAAGGTTATTAATTAGGTGGTTTCAAAATCATAGGAAAAAAACCAACTTAAATGCTGCATAAACTTCAGACACTCTAGAATGAGGATCACACAGCTGTTTT